AGTTCTCTGCTGATGTGCTGTTCCAGTCGTTTTTGGATAATCTTCAGTACAATCTTGCTTGCATGTAAAATCATTTGATACTATGTTAGTGCTGCTTTTCTTTTGAAACTGTTCTATACTACTTAAATTCTTTGTTACAACTAAGGCAGAACTCTGTTTTTTTCTTGTATTGCAGATACTTTCCCTTCCTTACCTACTGCAAAATTTTAGCTGGTGTCTGGATTAGAAGTAGAATCTTTTGGATATTGCACATTTAAGTGCATAGAATTCCCTTCATTTCCAGTTCATTCATATGCTATTAAAAAGCTTGACAAGTAAACTAAATGTGTATGTATTTTAGTTTATGGAGATGCAAACTGGAATTCCAGTTCATCTTTGATTCTTAAACAGAATGAAATCTTCTGTAATACCTACTCAAAGATGTCTTCTCTGCCATGACATAAAGAAAACTTTCTTGGATTTTTTCTTGCAAGGACAATCTTTAATCAGTTTCTTTGACATTAATTCCTGTAAAAACGTACCTGTCTTCATGTTTCAACTGAGTATATACAATTGGTTAAAATATCTCATTAAATTTTGGTATAAGATAGAAATGATTACATTTTACATATAATTACATTGTAAATGCAGCCTACAAAACTTACTTTACATGGTTAAAAAGTTAATTAACAATTCCTTTAAATTCCTTGTCTACTGTCTCCTAAATTTTAACAACTTTAAACTGTGCCTACATTAATCTTTCCCACTTTTAGACTAAGGACCAAATATATCCCTTCTGACTTTGCCCTGGCGTTCTGTAGAAAGGCATATATTTACTCTGGAAGTTGTCTTTAACACCTCTACATTTCCTGTCATCTTTCGCCCCTGTTACTTGTCATTCTGAAGTGCATCTTACTCTTGACTTGGAGAACTACTTTACTGAGTCAGGTTCTTCCGTCACTTTTTAGCTTATCAATCTCTCTTGTCTTGTTTCATTGCTGTTAAAATCATGTCAGGAGATACAAATTATACCAAATGTTTTACTAGAGATAATTAATGTAAAATATTAACTAGAGACTCTAAAGAAAAGGCAAAATGGACAACCAAGGCATCAAAGAGATACAGTATCTGCAGCCTCGAGAATAAGGGGGACAAATTGAAGAGGTTGAAATATCCTACTAAAGAATTATGGAGAAGCTCCTTGAAACTAGGAGTTAGATGTGTGAAAGGGGGGCTTTGCTTTCTTGGTTTTGATTTTGAGGAGGCCATTGCTTTGTGACAGGGACTAGTACCTCTGGAGGAACTGTTGGAAATGACATTCAAGTCTTTGAAAGGAAGTGAGATTCAACTCTTGTAGTCTGGAGATGGAAACAAAACCTGCAAACTAATAATAACTGTTTTTGTTATGTATCATTAGTAATAATTTAACTGATACTTAATATTACTGGAACAAACGACTTCTGTAAGATAATAAAGTTTGAGGAGATGATGCTGACAGAAACAAAACAGACAAGAAGGAGCATATCCCTTTCTCTTATCTCCCTTTTGCTGTTGCTGTTAGGGGCCATTGAGTTGGCTTTGACTCTGTGATGCACAACAGAGCAGGCTTTCACGGAACTTCTGTTAGCATTCCTGTTGACTGATCCTCAAAGGATCCCTCTCCCTTGGAGAAGCTGGGGGGTTCAAACTGCACAAAAGATTCAGCACCCCGATGTGTTAAGCACTAGCCATTAGCTCTCCTGTTTCAGACATAGTGACTACAGCAGTGGGTTTAAGCACCAAGATCATGGTGAGGGTGGTGCAGGATGTGGCTGGGTCCCCGTCTTTTGTCCACAGGATTGCTGTAAAACAGAGTCTACACTATGGCTTCAAGCAGCAGTGAAGTAGTACTTATGTCACTGAGTAGATTATCCTACTCATTTCCTAATGTTCTCATAATTGAATGACTTCATCAATAAGAATTTCTCCAAAATTCATCAGCACGCTGGGTTGGGTTGTTGTTTTCTTTTTTTTCCAAAAAAAAAATCATTGTTTTTTTTTTTAATTTTTATTGTTTTCTCTATTGAATTAGCCCAATTTTTTTGACAAAAAGGTGATTCCCAGACTTTACAGTTGTTTTTTTCCCTTTTAGAAAATGACTTTGACATTGAATATAAGGAGCTGGAGACCACAGAGGTCAATACGTAGACTTATCTGAAGTTTTGCTTCACTCAACAGCAAATAATAATAATAATAGTGCTTTGTTTCAGCTATTACTATTACAGATTATGATTTTTATTTTGTTTTAATGTAAATATGATTCGTTATGTAATCATATTCGAAGCCGTTGGTGTTGGGTGCCTTTGAGTCAATTTAGACTCATAGTGACCCTGCGAACAACAGATCTGAATCCTGTCCTATCCTGTGCCATCCTCATCATCTCTGACACACTCGAGCCTGTTGCTGCAGTTACAGTGTCAGTCCATCTCCACAAGAGTCTTCCTCTCTTGTGCTGACCCTCCTCCTTTATAAGCATGATGTTCCTTTCCAGAAAATAGTCTCTGCTAGTAACATGTGCAGAGTATGTGAGACGAAGCTTTTTCATCTTTGCCTCCAAGTAGTATTCTGACTGTACTTTCTCTAAGACACCTTTTTGTTCTTTAACAGTCCATGAGATATTCAGTACTACGCTTCCCCAACACCACAGCTCAAAGATATAAATTCCCCCTCAGTCATCCTTATTCATTGTCCAGCTTGCATAGCAAGTGGTTCTTAATTTTGCCTGATGATGGGAATTAGCTGGAAATTGTTGTTGTTAAGTGTGATCGAGTCATAGATGACTCATAGCAACACTATGAACGAAAGACCTGAATGCTTGTATCATTTTCATCA